CGGACTCTTTTTTCAAAATCGGGGTGATACTCATAATAAAGGGCATTGGCGGGGGTTTTGGTGCTTCTAGAGATGCATTTTCGTGCGCTTGAAGGGAAAAATTGGACTTTTCAAGGGTGTGGTATGCTTATTTATTGTGAAATGAGCATTTCCATTGTTTAAATAGTAAATGTCTATACTTTTTTATAAGCCTATTTAGTTAAAAAGGTTAGGCATCAGGCCATAAATAAATCTTTTATGTCTATTGGACTGACCTATTTAAATAATATGAATAATTATTTTAGTATCATTATGTTATGTTTTTTACTTTGAATCAAAATTCATAAATAAAACTTGGTTATCTTAGAGAACTTGTGAAAATAAGTTGTTTTCATAAGTTCTCTTAAACAAATAGTTTCACAAAACTTTCTAATATGTAAGTTAAAATAAATCAATGTAAACAAACTTTTAGTCTCATTGGTCTTTTAGTTTGTTAGTCTATTTAATCATTATTTGAATTACTTATTTATATATGTATAAAATAAATAGGCTTTTATGTATGTTAATAGAATAATCAGACATTCAAAAAAGTCAGATTCAAACTTAAAAATAAATCTATAACAAACTATAGACTAGACTTAAACTTCAATTATTTTAGCAAGCTAGACTTCGAGTTGATAAAATCTAACTCAATTGAACCTATTTCCACCTTTAGTGTCACCTCTTTTTCAAAATATAAGGACAAAACTTAGACTTTGAGGCGAAGGTACAAATTATATTTAGCAAAGTTATATTATTACCTATAATAATAATAATAATAATAATAATAATAATAATAATAATAATAATAATAATAATAATAATAATAATAATAATAATAATAATAATAATAATAATAATAATAATAATAATAATAATAATAATAATATTATTATTATTATTATTATTTTATATTTTTTTTAAACATATTGTAGTTTTTTATATACTAAAGGATATATGATGTGCAAAATAAAAGTATAATACTGATCCTATTAACATTGGTATATTCGTTGGAATCCAAGATCCTAACAATCTTTTATAAAAAGAAAGAGGCTCTAACTTTTTAAAAACAGGAGGTCCTAAATAATTTGCTTAAGTGCAAAGCTTGCACTTTCTTTGCCTATAAATAACCTTCGTTGGCCCTTTGTATCACCTTCACACAGATATACAATTATCTCAAAATTATCTTTTCTTCATTCATAATGGCTGGTGTCATAGTGATTTTTGACTTTGACTCAACAATAATTGAGATTGATAGTGATAATTGGGTTCTTGATCACTTTGGTTTAACTGAAAAATTCTATCAACTTCTTCCTAACACGCTTTGGAATCCTCTCATGGTTTGTTTTACTTTCCTTAATTTTCTTTCTTCTAACACAATCATGTTATATCGAATTAAACATTGTTTCCTAGTTAATCAAATTATTCTTATATTTGTTCTAAAATTTTATAGAACAAGATTATGAATGAACTTCATTCTCAAGGAAAAACAATTGAAGAAATTATACAAGTTGTTAAGAAAACTCCCATTCATCCTCGCATTGTACCTGCCATTGAAGCTGCTTATTCTCTTGGGTATAAATAACCAAGAATTTTAATTATAATCTTCACTCACTTTAATATATATATATATATATATATATATATATATATATATATATATATATATATGAAAAAATTTAGGTGTGATTTATATTTTTTTCCAATAAAAATACGATAATTGTATAATTTTCTCTTACACATATACAATTTCTTCTTTATTTTATTTCTTAAATAAATTGTATATGTGTAAGAGAAAATTATACACTTGTCATATTTTCATTGGAAAAAAACATAAACCACACCTAATTTTTTTCATATATATATATATATATATATATAAAAGGATGAGATCAAATGACACTAAGGTGTCAAAGTTTATTTGACATCAAATCTCAATCATTAAGAAAATTGATCAAACGGTCATATTAAATAAAATAAAATAATAAAAAATATATATAGTCTAATTATTTCTTAAAAAAATAAGTTATTTATATAACTGTTTGATCGAGTACTATTAACAGTTGAGATTTGATGTGAAAATTAATATTTGACACTCGTGTCAAATGATCCCCTTATTTATTTATATATATATATATATATATATATATATATATATATATATATATATATATATATATATATATATATATAATGAAGATGCTAATTAATTTTAATTAAGATGAAATATTTGTATACAGGTGTGAGTTGAGGATTGTGAGTGATGCAAATATTTTCTTCATAGAAACAATTTTGAAGCATCATGGAGTGTTGAATTGTTTCTCAAAGATCACTGCAAATCCAAGTTATGTTAATGAAGAAGGGAGGCTCATGATTTGTCCCTACCATGATTATCTAAAATCTTCTCATGGATGCAACCTTTGTCCACCAAATATGTGCAAGGCAATGACACTACTCCAAATTTATTTACTTATTATTATGTTTTTTTATGAGCTATTTATAGATCTATATTTCATCAGTTACTTCTATATCTAAGAAGAAAAGGATAAAACTAACAATTTATTAAAGGATATATTTGTTTATTAATTTTTTTAGGATCAAATTGTCTTTTTTTTTTTATAATAATTGTTAAGGATTAAATTATTTTTTACTATTTATTGTTAGTGATTTAATTGTCCATTTTTTTACATTGACTCGAGTAAAGACTTAATTTTTTAGATTAAAAAAAAAACTGTTTTTTTCTTTTCTTAGATCAAACCCTGTTTTAGAGTTTTTTTATTTTAAATTAAAATAAATATTAATACCTTTTATTTTAATATTTGATTTTGATGATAATATTGAATATTATTGCAGTGTCTTGTCTCTACACATAAGGCTATAGACTTTTCTTGTATATATGATATATGTCACAATCAAAAGATTTCTTTGACCACCCAAAAAGGCAAAACCATGTTCATGATAAGTAGGGCTAGAAAAAACTATAATTAATTGTATCAATATCAATTATTAAAAAGTCCATCCATTTGAATATAATTTAATTGCATGCATGTGTAAATAAATGAGAGAAAATTAATTTCTTAACAAATATTTTTCCCTTCTAATGACATGCAGGGATTGGTGATAGAGAGGTTCCAAAGTTTACTTGATGATGAAGGAAAAAAGAAGAAAATAATCTACTTAGGAGATGGAAGTGGAGACTTTTGTCCTAGTTTAAAGCTCAAAGAAAGTGATTATTTGATGCCTAGAATCAACTTTGCATTGTGTGATTTAGTATCTAAAAATTCTAATGACATAAAGGCACATGTACAAGGTTGGAAAGATGGAGAAGAGCTTGAGAATGTGCTGCTTCATATCATCAACAAAAATAATATTGATAAAGGAAACAATGTTGTTGGTCCAAAAATTATGTCACTTGATTGCAAGATGGGGACAATTTCAACAGATGCTCTTAAACCTTTTCCAGAAGCTATCTCAGTTCCTCTTTAATTAGTAACTAAAATTAAAGTACGAATAAAGAATGAATAAAGTATGATGTATCGAATTATGTTAAGATAGATCAGTTAGTAGTTATGAAGAGAAGAGATATTATATGTATGGATGCGAGCTTGAATAAAGGTGAAATTCATTACTTAAAAAAAAAAAATATTATTATATTGAATAAAATTAAATAAAATTGGTCTTTCTTCATTGTGATTGTCATATTTATTTGTGTATGATGTGTTTATTTAAAAAATCTAATTATGAAAAAAATTTAAAGCATCACTTTTTTAGTAGTTAGGATTTCGTTATGTTTTCGTTTATAAGCTAAAATAAAATATTGTTCTGTTGTTACTAGAGGAACTAGGTCAAAAGTTCCTTTTATAGCCTTTGTTTTTGCCTTTTGTTAGGCTTTGAAACTTTCCTCAATACCTTATCATTAAGACTTAGAATTAAGGTACTGCACATTTTCAGCCAAATAGTTTTGAAACGTCTCTCGAGACTTATCACAAAAGACTTAAAACTAAAACATAATGAAATATTTCGGGCTCAATAAAATAGTCTTGCATTGCTTTGTTTCATAATGGAAGTTAAAGATAGTTATATAATATTAAAATACCTTAATCCAATGAGTCGTTTTTTAAAAGAATAAAATTGTGAGAATTCTTACACTAAAAAACAGACAATATTATAAGAATAATATATAATAAAAGGTTTCATAATAGTTTTCTATACAATCATGAGCAATCAATTACAATCATTATTATTCTATTTATAAAGATATGCACGTAATAATATAATTATTAGTACGAAAAATATATATAATAACGGTTGCAAGAGGCATATATAAAATTAAAGAACCGCTATTAGATAGGGTGTAATTATAAGTAAGTTATTTAAAATTAAGATTTATTACATACGGTAGCAAATTGGATAACGCGCTACATGCAATCACGGCTGTATTAAACAACCGTTTCTATGTCTTTTAATAAAATAAAAAATAAAGAAGAACAACATGAACAACAACAACAACAACAACAAAAATAAGAACAAAAACAACAATAACAACAATAACAACAACAACAATAATAACAACAACAACAACAACAATAACAAAACAAAAAAAAACAACAAGGACAACAAGGACAACAATAACATTATTAACTTGAATCCATACTTTCTTGGGCTCAATCAAGTTGGAGAAGAGATGATGGAGTTTTTAAATTTGTTAATGAAAGAAATGATATTTTTGAGTTCTGTTTATGGTAGAAATTATATTTTCAAACTTGGTTTAGAGGAGAATAGAGTGTCGTAAATGAAAGATGATGTTTTGAGGTAGAATATGAAGCCCATTTAAGTTGGAAGTTCGTCTAAGTTTTAGGTTTCACGCAGATTACTAATGGTAGTGTCCAGGACCGGCCCAACACTCTACGAGGCTTAAAGCAAATTTTAAATTGAGGCCTTTTATATTTTAATAAAAAAATTAAATTAAATTATTATAATATTTATTTAAAATTTACTCTTCGAGCTTTTTGAGATGTAAAATCATTTATTAAACTATTGTAATCAATTTCATGTAACATTTCTTTTTCAATCGATAATAAAGCCAATCCATTTAATCTATGTTGAGACATTGTTGACCTTAGATAAGATTTTATTAATTTTAGTTTTGAAAAACTTTTTTCTGCCGAAGCAACAGTTACAGGAATCGTTAACATTATTCTTTAAGCAATAAATGCATTTGGAAAAGAGTTGAGTCTTATTATATAGTTAAGTATATCAATTGGCGTATCATTCTCAACATGTATGATTTCTCTTAATATTTTCAATTCAAAAAATAAGTCTAATCCATCAATATCAGAGTTATCGTTATGTTTTAACGAACATTCAAGGTTAAGACAATATTCTTTTAAATTTTCAATTTTCAATGACCTTAATTTCTCTATACTAAATAGAAAACCAAAAATATTTTGATATATTATAAATTGCTCAAATCTACTTCAAAATGATGTAATTGCATGATCTAATATGTACAAAAAATAGTCAAATTTAAATGATTCTTCAAGAGTTTTTAAAACTTCATTGTCAATAATCTCATCAAATTGCTCTATAGCAACATCAATGCTCATATCCTTTGATTGAAAGTGTTTACTAACTGAATTTACAGCGAACAATATTTCATACCAAATAGTCATGCCTAGCAAAAATTCAAAATTTTCAAGCTCATAAGTTGCTAAACATTCAGCTTCACTTTTTATTTTAGGTTCATCATTCATTTCACCTAATTTAAATAAAGCATCTCTTATTTGTGAAGTTTGGAATCTTATAGATTTTACACTTTCAATACGACTTTCCCAACGTGTTTGTGACAATGACTTCAAAGTAAGGTTAGGGATATGGTCTAGTAAAATTTTCTATCTTTTAGTAGAAGAAGAAAATATTGTATAAATACGTTGCACCACTCCAAAAAATGATGTAGCTTTGGAACAACAATTTGCCATATCACAAAGTATCAAGTTTAGACTATGACAACCACATGGTGTATAAAATGATCTAGGATTAACATCTAAAAATCTTTTTTGAACACCTTGATGTTTTCCTTTCATATTATAACCATTATCATAACCTTGTCCTCTTAAGTTAATAATATCAAGACCAAGTATATTTAGTTCATTCATAATAGCATCAAAAAGACATTTTCCAGTTGTATCATCTACTACTAAAAATTCTAAAAAATACTCAACTACTTGTATCGGAGTTGAAGAAAAATCTATACATCGTAATACAATAGACATTTGTTCTTGATGACTTATATCACGAGTACAATCAAGTATGATTGAAAAATATTTTGATTCCACAATTTTTTTTATAATTTTTTTTTTGATTTCATTTGCTAGCAAATCTATTAATTCATTTTCTATTCTATGCCCAAGATAATGATTATGAATTTCATCATTTTTTATTCGACGAATGTGCTCTTGTATTAGAGGATCAAATTCTGCAATCATTTCAATTAGACATAAAAAATTTCCATTATTTTCTTGATAAATCTTTTCGTTTGTTCCACGAAATGCTAAGTTATTTTTTCCAAGAGTTTTAACAACTGCAATGATTCTAAGTAATAAATTTCTCCAGTGCTCTCTTTCTCTATTAATTATTTCTTGAACATTCTTGTCAATTGTTTTATGTTTTAATAATCTCATTTCTAAATCAATCCATGAACTCATATTAACAATATGCTCATTACTCATCTCATGACTCTTCAACTTAGCACTAATATTTCTCCAATCATTACTATCTTCATGTGCTAATTTACTTGTACTATGAAGAGTATTAAATAATTTACAATAAAAGCAAAACATTTTATCCAATTTTTGAGAATAAACCAACCATCTTCTTTCACGCTTCTCTCCGTTGAATAATTGTTGAATGTAAAGTGATGAAGAAAAGTGTCTTGCATATGCATCCTTAGGAAAATCTATATCGGTAACTTTAATAGGACCATTTTCTACTAATAAATCTCTCAAATTTGTGTCAATAGTTATCCATTGACTTGGGTCATATATATTTTTATGAGATGATTTTTCTAATACTTTTTCTCTATCTTCATTGTTAGTGTCAGAATCAATATTATATTGCCTATTAACCGATACTATAATTTCATTATCACCCGCTATTCCTTCTCTATTTTCATTAGCATATATATTGTTAACTTGTTCGTCAACTACCTCTTCTCGATTTTCATTTTCATCATGGTTTACATTATTAACTTGTTCATTCAGCGAACAATCACTATTATTTTCGATTTCACTTTTTTTGTTTGTCTTAACAAATTTGTCTAAAGCCCCTTTTTGTGATTCAATCAAAGCTTCAACTCTTTTCTTTTTCTTGAGTTTCGAATAGCCCGATTCATATTTTTGAGTCGACATTTATATATTTTAAAACAAATGAATAATTCAATCAAATCTTGAAAGTAAATAAATAAAATAGACAATTAAAATAAAACTCTAAATAAGACTAAAATAAACAAACAGAATAAAATAACTGAAATAAAATAAACAAACTAAAATAAAACTAAAGAAATAAAAGAGAATAAAAAATATAAAATAAACAAAACAAGTAGTAAAACAGAATAGAAGAAAGAACCGCTTATTTGCCGTCAATCAAAAAAATAAACCGATGATTGATTGAAGATAGAGAATTAGAAAGAACTCAATAAACTAGAATAGGAGAAAATAGTGTTTGCCTCTGTAGAAAATATTCAATTGCAGTTTGAGTGTTTGATATTGAAAGAAGAAGAAGAATCAGTTATTATTGGAACAATGAGATTTGTGAAAATATTAAATCAATTAATACTAATTATTTTAGAACGTTAGGATTGGAAGAGAAAGAGTCAAAAAAGTACAAAATTGAAAAAGTAATGACAGCTTTACGTGTCTGACTGGTAAACAAATTTATTAAAATTATTAAGTTAATTTAAATTAATTAATTGAGGCTTATTTTTAGGCCTTAATATCTTTGATTCTAAAAATATATTTAGGGGCCTAAAGCCCTATCTTTACCAGCTTGGCCCAATGGCCGACTCTGGTAGTGTCTTGAGCATTCATAATCACTAAATGGATGGTTAAAATTTGTTTAAAGACGGTGAACTCAAAAAATACGCTTATATTTCCCCATGACCCTGAGTGACTTTTCACCACCGCTGGAAGTTCCAACTGTTGTGAAAAGTGGCTTATAAATATATTTAAAAAAACAAAATTGTAGGTGCTAGAATTCGAACCCAAGACCCTGAGTGATTTTTCACCACAGCTTCAATTGTACTAGTAAAGTGGATAACGCGCTACATACAACAATGATTGTATTAAGCAACCAGTGTTGTATGTCTTATAATAAAATATAAAAAATACAGCAGTAGAACAACAACAACAACAATGAGATTTGATCATGACCATGTGTCTCTTTTTACCACAGTTGGAACTTCCAACCATGGTGAAAATGACTTAAAAATAATTAAAAAAAGCGCCCAAAAATGAGATATTATCACGATTAACAAGGAGGTCGTTGTAATATTGTTTTACGAAAGGTATTTTCCGTAGTAGTGAATTAGTCGAAACTAAAGGTTGTTGAATGTTGAGACTATCACCAAAATCATCTAAGGTTTATACTGAAAGTCCTTTGGTGAATATGTCAGAAATTTGAAAACGAGAGGGAACATGTAAAACTCATACGTCACTACGAGCAACTTTTTCACACTTAAAATGTATATTCATCTTGATGTATTTGGTGTGTTGACGTTGAGTTGGATTACCAGATAGATAAACAATACTCACATCACAATAGATTAAAGTATTTACTATAACTAGACAATGTAGTTATAGAGAGCTTTTGATCCAACAAGATTCAGATACTACATTAGCTACTCCATGATACTCAACTTCTTCACTAGAATGGGATACACTATGTTATTATTTTGCAGGCTACAAAACCAAATTGTCACCAAGATATACATAGTAGTCCGAGGTGGATCGGCGAGTTATCCCAATCTACATCAGTGTAATATACTAGTTTGTTGACATAGTATGGATATAAGTAAAGACAAAAATTAAGAGTATCATGAATATAACGAATGATAAGCTTCAGAGCATACATATGTTTCATTTTAGGGTAATGCACAAATAGGCTTAATTTTTGAACTACTTAAGAGATAACAGATCTTGTGAAAGTTAAATATTGCAATGCACCGGAAAGACTTTTATATTTTATTGGGTCATGATAAGTGTGATACGGTGGGAGAACTGACTTATTTATTTTGCGTTTGATCGCAAATGTTGCGGTTAGCAAGAGTCGCCACTGACTTTTCTTTTATCTAAAAGGAAAGGTGAAAAAGCACAAGAAAGACCTTTGAGATTATTTCTTCAGTTCGGGGGTAGATTATGAAAAGGGAAGGTGTTAGCACCCTTTTCATCCATGGTTTTCCATGGGCTCTTAGTTACTTGCTAGATCACTTGCTTTTTATTTGAAATTGTGTTTGGTGTGATTTTTGAAAGTATTTTGTAAAGAGGTCATTGTTTAGGCAATCTTTGTAATGATTCTTGTTTGTAAGAATGTATACAAAGATGTTGATCTTTTGAAAATATTTTCAAATTTGTAAGATGTTTTGAAAGTGTAGGTGTTTGTTTTGAAAATAGCAAGGATGTTTTGTTTTGAAATGGAACAAGTAATTAAGAGCATTCTACCTACTCAAAAGTTTTTCATGTTCATTTCCTTTTCCTTTGACATTATTATCTTACCATTGATTTGGTAAGTAACCCTTAATTTGGATGTAAACGGGACGGACGTGGGTCATCGTATAACCATGATTAGAAATGTTGCAAGATATCTTAGAATTCTCTTTTAGGGACTAAGATCATTTGAAAGGCAACTTAGATAGCGTCATCGAGGGACTATGATCTTGTATTTGCTTGTTTTTGCTAAGATACCTCACATGCGTATGTTGGTGTAAGCCCTAGAGGCCAATACTTTTGGTACTTGTATCGAATTATTTATTAATAATAAAAGGCATTTCTTTATTATGTTTGCTTTCCAAAATAATAAAGTCCCTAGAATGGTTTATTTGTTTAATAAAATGTTAAGTGTGACTTAATCATGAGATCCCATTAAACATAAGACATTATTCTTAAAGTATCCGTAGTCAAGCTTTAATGTGAAGTGGGATAACATTAAAGCATTAAGATTATTATGAAGATATATTGATGATCACATCTCATGGATCATAGATAAGGAGTTATCAAGTCTTGACATAGGTATGAATATTAGGAGTAATATTTATACTGGATTGACCCGCTATGAGAATACTACATAGAATATTATGCAAAGTGTCATAAGTTATTCTCATGATGATAATGGTATATACCACCCTTCGACCTGAAACCACTATGGACCCTAGATGTAGAGTCAAGTACTTTATTGCTGATCAAACGTCATCCGTAACTGGATGACTATAAAGACGGTTGATGGGTACTTCACAAAGCATGCTAAGGGACATGAGTGACCTAGATGGAATTTGCTCATCCTGCATAACAAGATAAATGTCTAAGGGCCCAATATTGAACTGGACAAGGGTGACACAGTGTATGCCTTGTGTTCAATATAGACATGAGGGCAAAAGGGTAATTGTACAACACAAATATTATCACGGAAAAGGTTTGGTCAGATCACATGACATTTTCGTGACTTGGGTAACAGTGATGTGTTGCTAGATACCGCTCACTGTTTATTATATTAAATGTGTGATTTAATATAATTGCCAACGTCGCGAAAACCTACAGGGTCACATACATAAGGACAGGTTGATGAGAGATAGAATAAATAAGGAACACCGTAAGGTACAGTGCACTTAAGTGTAATACAGAAAGTGGTAAGGTACCACGTGGATAAGTGATATATGGTACATCATAAGGTATGATGTCCATAAGCTTAATTGGGCTTTTAGCTTATAGCCTTAATTGGGCTTTTAGTTTGTAGCCCACACGAGTGATTCTATAAATAGATCCCTTGTGATGAAGCAATTTCACTTGATGCAATTTCGTTTTTGATTCTCTTTCTCACTCATAAGGTTTCCGTTCGTGATCAGCTAGCACTGTGACCGGAAGCGATCTGTTCGTGTGGACTGAGTAGAGGCGTTGTTCTTCATCAACGCTCGTGATCACAACATCAAAGCTCTGAATCGCCACAAGAGGTAAATATTTCTATCACTGACCATGCTCATTCGTAAGGATCGCTAAAGGAAAATTTTAAATTCCGCTGCGCTTTTGATCGCAATTTTCCTTCAGTGGTATCAGAGCCACTTACGAAACCATGGATCTGATAGTTGTTTATGTTCTATATTTTATGTTTTGATTCGATTAAAACCAGAATGAATTGAATAATAAACGATTAATTAAATTTGGCATCTGTTGTGTATGATTTGGATGATTGATGTTGATTATGCTTCGGAATCCGACATTAGTATGGTGAAGCAGCGATACATCGATCGTCCATAGGTTACACAAATAAGATCGATCACTTTTATATATGATATAAGTAAATATGATGCAACGATGGTATATGGGATATACTGTTTCTGTTTCGTTCATTCAAACACTTGATGATTGTTATTCCTTTGACCGATCACTGTTCATATGCTTCGGAATCCGACATTAGTATGGTGAAGCAATTGCATGTGATTAATCATACTGAATTATCAATCGAGATGTGTTTGACAACATGAAACTGTTGCATTAGGGTTCATGACGGCACAAGGGTTGTGTTGTTGCAGAGTTATGCGATTAGGGTTGTGAATGCACAAGAGTTGTGCGAAAATGACGCCGATTTCAAATGAATTGTTCATTAAAATTTTGCGTCGGGGTGCTTCCCCTAACAACCCTGCAAAGGGGCGCTGCCCCCTTGACCCCCATCCGCTGAACGGTCAGCGGAACCACTGTCCGCTGACCGGGTAGCGGAACCCCCGGCTAACTCTGCGTAGTGTGATCAATCGTCGAAATTTAATTTGCCTTTTTTTTAATTAACAAAATTTAAACTAATAATAAAAGTGTGTTTATTATTATTGTCTTGTGGTGATCAGTTATGGCCTTAGGTTTTTCCTTTATTTTGTTTTGGGATTGTAAAATACGGCCTGCGTGTCGTGCCTCTCTCTAAAATTCTTGATGTAACTTCTTTTCTCATCTCACTCCCTCGTATGTAAAACGAGTTTCTTTTATGTAATGTAATGTTATGAAGAAAGAGAAGAATACAATATCAAAGGAGGATAACCTTGGAGATCTTGCTTGGAGAAGTTTAGATCGTTATTAGGTTAGCTTAGGTTCTCTCATTGGCTTGGGATAACAATTGCGCTAGGGGCCATAACTGTATCCTTTTATGTATATTGATG